ATTCTTTGTTGCAGACCACAGAACCAGATCTACAAGGTAGGCATGCTCCACTATTTTCTCCTTAAGACTTGTAAATAATGTCCCCAAGTTTCAGCCATTTGCTTTGTATAGTATTTTCCCCAACCAGAAAAACCCACCAAAAACAAACAAACAAAAACACAACTCCCCCACATTCCAACAGATTCTACTGCTAACATGTTTGCCCCAACCATTACACTTTCCAGTGCAACACTGTGCAGCAAAGCAGTAGTAAATACTATATATAGTTTGTTTTGCTTTTATTCTACCCTGGCCAGAATCCTATTGCCAATTTAGATGTGGATAAGGGCAATCATGTAAGTCTTGGCAGCACATTGCATAAAGACTGGCTTAAAAGAAAACCCATCAGATGTTGAAGTTCACTACACAGAGCAGATTTTGGGAAAAGTTAGAATGGAAGGGTATAGAACAAAGACAGCTGTGCTAGTTCTCTGAGATGTCTGATTTGGCTACGGTGAGAGTTTCTTTTAGTTTTATCTTGTCTGGATTACTGTAATACACTTTATGTGAGGCTGCCTTTGAAGACAGTTTGGAAACTACAGTTGGTTGCTGCCTGGGACCAATTACAAGGAGCATAAAATTCCCTTGTTACAACAATCGCACTGTCTTAAGGGCAGGGCTGCAGGCTTCCCTGCCCCATCTCCTTGTCTGAGTGGGTGGCTGACAGAGGAGGAAAGCACACGCTGCAATCCATGAGTCGGTAGTGGGAACAGGGAGGGAAGCACGTATTGCCCAGGAAACAGGTGAATGAGCAGAGGCGGTGGGGGAGACGAGTGCACAGTGCCCACATAAGACCTGTGTGGGTGCAGTGCCAAACTAGGCTGAACATAACTTGGCCCATCTCAAACTTGGACCCATCTCTGAGATGTGATATTAACTTTAGAGTCACCTGCAACATGCAAAGCAGCAGCGTGGCTACAGGAATAAGTGTGGATGGGATATCTGCTATGCCAATAGTAAGAACTGAATGTTGATTTCTTCTGTACATTATACAGAATTAAATTAAAAATAAGCAAGCTTAAACACATTGGAATCAATGGGACTAAAATGAACACTGGATTGTGCTATCAGAAGCACAACCATAGGGATTGGGCAAAAGGTATTGGTCAATGACCAAACCCATCTGTGCATCAGTCCTCAACAAAAACAAAAGGCAGATAGAGGCAGAACTTCACCAAAAAAAGAAAAGAAACAAGAAACAAGAAACAAGGGGGGGGGGGGANGGGGGGGGGGGGGAAGAGAGAGAATGAAGAAGTAAGAAACTGTCTGTATATCGTGTCACACTCTAGGTCCTTCTAGTCTAGTGCTGCTGACATCAACTGGCACTGTCTCTCCAGGGTTTCCAGTATGAGTTTTTCTACCCTTACTAGGACATCCCAGGGATCAAATCTAGAATCTACTGCATACAGAGCAGTTTTTCACTGTAGCTACAGGCAGAGGTCTAAAAAAAGTTACAGCTTTCAGAAGCTTTTGGCCACCGTGGCATATTGGCTGGGGGAGTTCTGGGGGTTACAGTGCAAAAATATAACTTTTCCAAACTCTTCCTCAGTAACGTTTTACTGAGAAAAAACAAAGTTTTTGAGTTAATACCATAATACCAAAAAGACTTTCATCACCTTCTGCCTCCCTTTGAACAAAAGCACAGGAAAACAAATTCCACAAGTGGCAACTGTTTCCAGATGCAAAACTAGCAAGAAGGTGGAACAGAGCCAGTAAGAAACATTCTGAAACTTGGCAGCTATATCCTGAAGCTTCAAACATGCCCTGTGGGTGGCCGTGGGTGTTGGCTGCAAAGCTGCAGGAAGCATCTGTTTGGTCCTACAATTATACACATTCAGTATATTAAAATGCTTAGTAACAATGCAGCAGCTTAGGCTAGGGCCAGCACAGAAGAAACTATTCTATTTGGAAATTAATTCACCTACTAAGGCCAACATCTCAAAACCGTAAGCATGTGAACTGTTACTTGTTATCAATACTGAAGAGTCGTGACCAAAATGAATCTATGGAACAAGTAAACAAAATTAAACTCATCCACGCAAATAAGATGATGAGGCCAATTAAAAAGTATTGTTTCCCACATCACACAGATGCCATCGGGATTTTCAGTACTGTATATGATCTGAGATATAAGCCTGCAGGGTTAACACACTAATCATGAAAAATCGCTCTCTCCAAAGTTTCTTTCATAGTAAAGATTAGATCTGGGCATATTCTGAACTAAAGCAATCTTTATCAGAGATATTACCAGCACAAGCCAACCCACGCTGACAGAGAAAAGCTAATTTCCTTAACACTTGGAACTTCAAGCAAAGTAGCTTAAGCTTAGGGAGTCAGATATATTGGAAACAAATGCTATTGCCTCCTAAGGAGGTTCCACCATCTCTTCACATTTGGGTGTGATTTTTCTATCTAGATTACACATAAGAGCTTTATGGAGAGTTTGATTTCTAAAAAGTTGTTTACAAAAGAGAAGTATCTCACGCAGCTTCTCTTGACAACCCTTAAGTACAAACTCTTCCTGAACTCCTCTCCATGTCTGCATCACCAAGTTCCTCTGATCTCCTGCTAGTCCAAGGTAGACTCCTCTATACAGACTCAATCCAGACACTACATTTCCCAACATCTTCTGCTCTTTCTACTTCATTAAGGTTACCACTGCTTACCACTATGGCCCAGTAAGTGCCAAAGCTTAAACCCAACTGCTAGTCCTGAATAGAGCAGACCACTGAATCAACCATCACGGGTACGTGGAAAATTAAGTTACTGAAATCCCACCGTCTCAATGGCTCGACAGTAGTTGAGATCAGCAATCAGACAGAAGCTCAAACTTTTCTCTTTTAAATAAGCCCGGGAGGGGGGTGATATAAAACAATCTTGTCTCCTCCTATTCATTTCTTTTTCCATGCTGTCATCCAACACCTCTCCCCGCCCCCACATCTGCTACATCACACACCGAGTAGCTTCTTTAGTTCAAAGGTGGGAAAGGAATGGGCAAGAGGGCTACAGAGGGAGATCCATAAAGGAGTGACAACTGCCCTTTCTCCCATTTCAACTGGACAGAGTTAAAAGGAAAAGTCCAGTGCATGATGTAAAGATACCAACCTTTCAGAAATTTTGTCAGAAGGCTGATTTTGGCCAGTAATCTGATATTGCTAAAGAGAAATAGTCACACAAATCATCTATGGCCAAAGAGAGTATGCATTTGAGAAACACCACATGAAGAACTTACACAGGTCATAATTTCACAAGCATGAACAGTGGAAAAAGCAAGCGTCCACATTAATGGGGTGGATTGTATATAGCCAAGTATATTAGGATTTAGACTACAGACATCAGTTCAGCAGTGCATGCATTAAACCTCTCTTCAAAAGAACAAAGATCAGCTGCACCATAAGTACATGAAATACTGTCATTGCAAAAGCTATCAAATATTAGAAAAAATATGCTACCTTGCCACATTAATAGCTCCTGCCACTGTTCTCTGATATAAACAGATATTTACCTGAGATAAACAATTTGCCTATCTTTTCACACAGCTAATCTCTGCTAATCAACTTTGAATAACAGCTGCTGGTCATTAATGTCAAATGAGATTCATAAGGCTAAAATGTTTATTTTTCTGAAGAGAACGATGACCAACTGATTATCAGCAAACAGAGAAACAGGACATTGAGATGCAACACATTTTTCAAGGTACAGTTTGTCCTGAAGCTGCTTATTAGGTTACAGAAGATATGCTAACATTGTAAAATATTGACTGCAAGGTTGTTGCACTCAGCCTCATGCAGATTATCTTTAGAGCTTTTTGAAAATTAATATATTTCTCCTTCCAAGCTTATTGTCAATGAGAGTTAGCAAAACAAATCTAGACATCTCAAAAGCAAGACAAAATTTACTAAAGACTAAATTAAAGTACTTTTTAAAAAGAAACTGGGGCATTTAATTCTCATCAAATTGGCTTTGTCAGAGACAAAGCTGAAGCCTAATTGCACAAAAGCTAGAGTACATCCACAATACACCAAGTTAGATTCGGAAAATAATTTTATCCTAAAAGAAGAGACTCGTGGTCACCCACGTAACATGGAAGGATGAGGGGAATGAAAGTTGTTTTTCTGCTCTCTTTCTTCCTGGCATTTGCCTGCCTCAAAAGGTTCATCTGCCAGGTGTCTCTTTGGTATCCATGGGCAGAAAAGATCCACTGATTGCTGTCATCATTCCCAGGTTGCTGCTCTTCAAGACCATGTAAGATGTAAATGGCTCACTGAGTATGCCACATACACAAGCAGAAATGTCTGACAGTTGTTCCCACTCATGTGATGTCACTTAACCTACGGAGATCCTGGGAGAGAGTGGCCTTCAGGACAACAGCAACAGCATCTCCTTCAACTTGATGTCAGATTTCATAAGGTTGTCTAGAACACAAGGGAATGTTTTAAGATGGTATGATTATCTTTCTCCTAGGCTAGGCCCTTGATTACCACAAGTTCTCCAGTTCTGGCTGTTTGAGAAGCTGCAGTGTAAATGTCAAATCAGGTATACCAAACAGAACAGGAAAAGGCCTCTGCCTTCTGTTTTGCCTATTCTTTTCTTGGACTATTCAGCTACTAATTTCCTATAAACCAAGAAGCACTGAGAGCCTTTGAGTGGTACTTTCTTTTAAGGCACTTATTTCAAATGATAAGTTGGCACCTACTACTGCGGATACGATGTCAGCAGATGTTTTTGAAAAGTACAGAATAAGGGGTTAGTGTACAAATGATGGTGATTAGCCAGGTGGAGTCCCAAGCAAATCAAAAATAACCACTAGTGTTTTTCTGCATTTACTAAAATATTTCCAAGCATCACTTCAATGCATACAAAGTTATAGTACACATGTCCAAGTGAGAGAAAAAAATGTATCACAAGAGTGAGAAAAGTTAAATACATTAAAAGACATGAAACACAGTTCTTACAATTACCTTGAATCAGGATATTTAGTGAGTGTGGCCAAGCTGCTGGTATACATATGCCCACCCACATCAATGTGTACTGGTGCATTTGATTTTGTGAGCTGAGCTGGTGTGGGGATGCCTTGATTGTTCAGAGGAGATGCAGGGGACCTAGTGATCAGAGGTCTTGACATATTGGGCCGACTGTCCTGTGAAAAGACACAAATATCATTAGGAAATCTGATCTTCCAATTTAGTGGGGAAAGGCAAGAAAAATTAAACACTGGAATACGCATTCAGGAGTGAACAAAACAAAAAGTCACAATCACAAAAAATATCTATTCTCCTGGCATTTGTTTAAAAACTATTCAGTGCTCATAATTCAATGCCTGGCTAAGGAATGAATGTTCTAGCAGTTTTAAGCCTGAGTTAAAAAATATAAAGTTTTATGGATGTGTGGGTGGGGAGGATTATCCTATGTCCCAAACCCTCCTATGTGCCAAGCAGTTAGAAGAGGTAAATACAAACCCTCAGCTCTTCCATTCTGCCAACTCTTCTCTTGAGTATCCAATTCACATATCACGCAAACAGAAGAGGAAACACCTGGACTAGCCAACTGTTCACGTACTGTAAAAAACGGGGCACCGAAAGCCTTTGAGAAAGACATTTTCCATATAAATATTATACAGATTGTGAAAGATGCCCCTCTGCACCCCAAAAGGCTGCTATTTCCAGCAGCCTTCCCAAAGAATATTCCAAAACGGAGCACCGCAAGCAGATGCAGATGAAATGAAACACTTCAGTCGAGTGGAAATGCAATGTCAGTAAACAGCCAAGCACTAGACCTCTGCATAAAGTTAGGGCAGGGTGGAGCAGAGCAAAGCAACTGCTGAGGTCAGCAAGACAAACCAGTTTTAAAATTCAGGAATGTAAACAGAACTTGGCCACAATTCTATGGCAACTTAGCTTCTTCTTAACGTATGTACTCAAGAATGTAGTTGGGATGCACAGGCGGAGGATTTCCAGAACTTCCTATATTTTCCATTTTAGGAATAAAAAGCAAGGCTGTAGAGCAAACATGCTGAGTAATCAAATGTGCTTTGATCACTTTGCACTTTATTTGGTTACAAAAATGTATTTCAAACATTCAGCATATGAAATCAGTGATAGCTTGGTGAGGGAAATGTGTTGTCCACAGACATGGATTAAAATCTTCACAATTATACAGACCCTAGGTGGCCTTGGGCAATTAATGATCTCTAGTAGTTCAACCCTTTGCATATGTACTCAGAAATAAGGCTATTTGAGTTCAGAGGGGCTCGGTTCCAAGTTGGGACTGCAGGCTTATATACAAAAACTACTACAGCCTTGTCTTGTTACCTTGAGCTGATTCTACAAGGTTGCAAGTTCATTTTTGAACTTGCATGATTTTTGGGACTACAGTGGTGCCTCGACATTTTTGAACTTGCTGTAAACAAGAGACTGTGGCGCTTACATCTTGCCATGATTTTTGGGACTACAGTGGTGCCTCGCATTATGACGTTAATTCGTTCCAGCGAAATTGCTGCAGAATGAAAACATTGTAAAGTGATTTTTAAAAGCCCATAGAAACGCGTTAAAACCAGATTAGTGCGTTCCTATGGGCTTGAAACTCACCGTCCAGTGAAGATCCTCCATAGCGCGGCCATTTTCGCTGCTCGTGCAGCGAGGCATTCCATCCCAGAAAACAGCAGGCAGCCATTTTTTTACCTGGCAGCCATTTTGAAATTGCCGATCAGCTGTGCGAAAATCATCATTTTGCGATAATCGGTTAGCGAAGCAGGAAACCGATCATCGCAAAGCAAAAAACCCCATAGGAAACATCGTTTTGCGGTTGCTTTTGCGATTGCAAAAACTTCGTTATGCGATTTTGTCGTAAAACGAAGCGCTCGTCTTGCGAGGCACCACTGTATTCCATTGCTTCTGCACCCCCTTACTAGGTCAGTAATGTCCAGCCTTCAAGTCTTGAAAACCCCATTGCACTCCCTTACTAGGTCTGTAATGTCCAGCCTTCAAGTCTTGAAAACCAGCACTTATTTGTGAGATTTTAGCACTCTAATAAAGGTACTCTCCTCCTGTTTTTATTGTATTTTCATTCACTATTGAATTCCAGGGAGCCCACTTCCGAAACGACAGGTATAAGATTATACTCTCAGACTCCATTTTTCAACTATGAAGCCAGATAATTTTTGACATCACTGTGGCATGATCTGTAAGACAATCCACATATTTACAGATGTGGTGAAAAAATTTAGATCACCTTCACTACGCAGACTTTACAGTCCTGAACAGCAGAAAAAGAGCATGACTTTTATTATATTCCACCTATAGCATGCATAAAATTATTGAGTACTGTGCAATTCTTAACATTTTAGTGCCAGTGTTCCAGCTTACTTAAAATATCCTTTCATTATATGGGCATCATTCAGATTTGTGATATTTGCAAGAGGAAGAATTTGGAATGGAGCACTACTGGCTACAATAAGCAACTGTTTTTATCACAAACCATCTTTCTGTATAAAGGCCACATTACAAGATGTCAGAAACTGGAGAGTGTCTTAAGTTACTTTTTAAAAATAATTAGTTACTATTATAGCTCCAAGCACTCTCTCAACAGTTACTGTTACTACTTTCCCATTTCACAAAAGTAATTCATTACTTTAGTTGGTAAACCAAAACACCTGAACACTAGAAACCTGAGGTATAAAATACTGTTTCCATCCACCTTATTGTCATCTCAACACCCATAACATAGCATGATTCAGCATCTGAAATGTGTGATATTCTTCCTTTATCACTTAGTAAGGCTATGCCCCCATTAAAAATAAAACTAACTAAAATAAACTTAGCAAAGGGGTGAAACTACCCCTTTTTAAATTATAAAGGTGATGTAGCTCACACGGAATTAATTAGGAACACTGACTTGCAAGCTCTGAGGTAAGTGGAGTGCACTTTTACAAAATGAGGGCTAAAATTTAAAAAGAGCACCACAAAATATATTTCATAAGTAAAATGTTGTTTTCAGGTTAGAAATGCACAATGCTTTCCACTGACAGTTGGTCCACTCTATTAGTTCCAAAGGCAAGCACAGAAACCGTCCATTTATGCAAACAGCTTTTTCAAACACATATTTGAAGAACATTATGATCTGAGGATGTCGAAATGCTGGAAGACCTACTTGGATAACAACAACTATAGGTTTATATAATTGGGAACTGAGTGGGAAATCTACATCATATGTGACTATACATTTAATATAATGCTAGGAAAGAGGGAAGAAAATAGGATCATTAGCAGAAGATATTATGGATTCAGTTATTTATTTAATTTTATACCACCCATCTGGCCAAAGGCTACGCTGGGCAGTTTACAACAACAACAACAACAAAACAAGTGGCACAACAAACATGGCTAAAATACAGAATACAATAAACGAAGAACAAAAATAAAGTCTAAAGACCTCTTCCTCTGAAACCCCAGAATGCCCTTAAAGCAGGACAAAGCAAGAAGTTCAAGAGTATCACACATGGTTATTAGAACTAAGATGAAACGATAATTGTATAGCCTACATATGAACATCATTTTATATGATTAGCTTTATGAACAGCATAAAACCTCCAACAAACGAAATATTTATATGAACCTTTCAGCAAGTGCAGTGAAGGAGTGGAAGAATCAAGCCTTCTTCTGAGCTCTGCCTATTTTTGTGATGGCCACACAGGAAGACTATCAGTTTTTCGGCCAGCAATAATCTTAAGTGGATTATTAAAGGACGGAGATAACAGTTTATTCTTCCAGCGCCATTCTCTTCATTGAGCCTCATGAAATTTTATGAAACTGAAATGGCTATCTGGCTACTACTTGAATGCAAGGTGGGTATGAGATATCATACAGCCATTGTAATATAGTCACTAGTGGACAGAGTGACAGACAGCACACATGTAAAACTCTCTCTGGCATGAGTAAAATCATTCCTAAATATCTCACTTTTTTGAAAGCAGTACCACCATAAGTCAGTTAAGGCCACATGGAACAACACAGTATTTTATAAAAACAAGACAAAAATTGATCACATGAATGCAGCTGAATAACTTTAGGGAAATGCAATGTTCAAAAAAAAATTCACAAAACTCTGTTTTGCTATAGTGAAATCCTTAATCTCTTTTTTTCTGACAAAATTTATAAATCTGATGTATGAATTAGATATATTTTATAGCACAGAACAACAAGATATCCAAGAAACCTTAAATATCCTGCCATAGTATATCATATATTCTGTGTACACCATGGGACACCTTATTCCTCAAGGCAGTATGTTTTTAATACGTGAGATACACAAATCAGCTGATTTAACTAGTTTGTCTCCTCTCAGTCTACTGTAGCATCTACTCAGGAATTGTTAGACTGAAATTTTTACCTTCAAATTTATATTACTGACAACCAAATGGTTTGGGCGATAATTGATCTAGACAGGTTTCCAAATTAAATCAGTGCATGCAAATGCAGATAGTATGCCAGTGCAGGATGCCATAGAGAGACAATTTTAAAAGTACAGTGGTGCCTCGCATTACGAGCGCTCCGTTTGACAACGAAATCGCTTTACGTCAATGTTTTTGCGATCTCAAAAGCTGTCGCAAAATGATGTTCCCTATGGGGGAATTTCGCTTTGCGATGATTGGTCCCCTGTTTTGGTAACCGATCATCGCAAAGTGATGATTTTCGCACAGCTGATCGGCAGTTTCAAAATGGTCGCCAGGTAAAAAAATGACCGCCCGCTGTTTTCTGGCATGGATTCCTCGCTGCACGGGCAGCGAAAATGGCTGCGCTATGGAGGATCTTCGCCGGACTGTGAGTTTTAAGCCCCTAGGAACGCATTAATCGGGTTTTAATGCGTTTCTATGGGCTTTTTAAAATCTCATGACGACGTTTTTGTTTTACAGCGATTTTCCAGGAACAAATTAACATCGTCATGCAAGGCACCACTGTAGAGGAATTTTATCAGAACTGAATAACTTACACATGCATACACAGACACACACTCTGTTTGCCCTTCCCTCTTTTGGGAAGGGCAAACAGCAAAGCAAACAAACTAATCTGACAGCTATTCCAAACATTTGGTACTTCATCACAGCTATTCCATACAAGCATTTCTGAGACTTTGTGTGTTTTTCCACTGCTCTTGTAACTTTACTTTTGTAGCTTTCTAATACTTACATTAAAATACTCTCCAAGCCTAATCTATTTCTCTAATTTTCAGTGACTCTGATATTCACATGTGCATATGTAGATACTGGCATTAGATGCCAAGAAAATATGTCATGTAGGCATGTAAAAATATGCATAATTTCACAATGCTTTGAGGTGTTAAAATGCTACACATCCCATGCTGCATTGTCCATCAGGCAATTATGCCTATATTTTCAAAATGATACAATGGCTATAGGCAAGTCTTATGTACTATGTACTGTTTGTTATGAATTTCATCACTGTCCTGAATGTTCTGAGACATCAGTTTGTTGCTGGGTAAATGGATTAAGTGATTTTATCAGGACATTTTGAGCTGGCATTATTTGGACCGACTCTGCACA